CGATTTCAGAAGATCGGGGAGAGAAACGTGCCGCCGAGGGCGAGGCCGGCTCTGAGGAGAACCCTGTTGATAAACGGCCACGTTTGGAGGAGTCGGATGTGGTTCCTTTTGTCGTTCAACCAAAGATAAAAAACACATTGATCTCTTCTGATGCGTCGGCCTTGAAGGATCCAGCTGTGGCGTTGAGTTTGGCTGCCTTGGTCTCGTTGCCAACTGACAAGGCAACCTTTCGGGCGGAGCCAGATTTGGTAACAATAGCGTTAGCTGCCCAGTCGGCCCTCCTGGTATGTGACTTCATCCTAACTCTTTGTTTTGATTTTGTTTGCATACGATATTTCAAATAAAACAGAGATATAAATCTGGTTCATATAAAACAATGAAACAGAGACAAGGTTTTTACTAATTGAATCGAATTTGATTGCAAAACAAACAAAGCCCTCTTATGTTATCTCAGTGGGTTTACAAAACAAACAAAGCCCTCGAATTTGATTACAAAACAAACAAAGCCCTCTTTAGATTGAACAAAAAATTCCAAAAAACAGTGGGTTTATTCCAAAAAGAGCCAAAAAGTTTCAAAAGTTCCAAATCAGTGGGTTTACAAATCAGTTTAAAAACTTTATGTTATCTCAATGGGTTTAGAAATCAAAGTTCCAAACACAACATAAGTATTAAAAAACATTACATCCAATGAAAATAGTACTTAATTTTACATCCTATTAGCTAACCACTCATTATACATTTGGTTAGCTAGAGTGTCCCTCCAATTACTCCATTGGTCAGATCTCCCAATTGTGTCAATGTACTCGTCACCTGTTTCTTGATTATTTGGCAATGTGTCATCTAAGTCTACCTCCAATGGATCCATAGGCATCTCACGTTTGATGAGATTGTGTAGAAGACAACAAGCTGTGATAATTCGACATTGGGTCTTGATTGGAAAATAGGAATATGTTCTCAATATTGCCCATCTAAGCTTCAGAAGACCAAAACATCTCTCTATTATGTTACGAGCCGCGGAGTGCTTCATATTGAAGAACTCCTCTGCATTAGTTGGGGCACCCCCTTCCCTCCAAGTGGACAAGTGGTAACGTTGTCCTCTATAAGGTGCTAAAAAGCCCTCCCCATTAGTATAGCCCACATCAACTAGATAGTAAGAACCTGTAATAATGTAGGATTATATAATTACATAATCACATAATTTAAGTACAAGTCCAAAGGTTATATATAGTAAAGATATTGTGAAATGCAGCTGTACCCGTTGGCACTCTCAACCCATTTGGTCTACTTATGGCATCTCTAAGTACTCTAGAATCTGAAGCGGAACCTTCCCATCCAGGTAAGACATATATGAATTGCATGTCATGGGATCAAACACCCAAGACATTAGTCGCAATTTCACCCTTTCTTGATCTATACCTTGCTTTATCTACTACAGGAGCTAGCACTCTAACATAAGTGCCATCAAGTGCACTACGACAATTCTACCAAAAATTACCAAAAATAAATGATTACTTATTAAATTGTAATTATGAATATTATAACTTTTATCAAACATGAAGCATTACTAAAACTAGTATTTACCTGAAACTACCTCCTCCTATCATCTGTGCACCCAGCAGTTATTGGTTTAGGTGTCTTTAGTAAGACACCTTGTAGTCGAAGCATAGCCTTAAGGACATCATTGAAATACTTACTAACTGTTTGACCAGGTCTCATAAAATTGAATTTGACATTTCGATTTTTATGGTGGTGCCCAAGCATAATCAAGAACATAGCAACCTTTTCCTTTAACACAACATATTTTAAATCTGACACACCCCTTGTTTTGATAAGCCCACACAACCGCATAAAGGCATGCCCATTCCTTCATAGTTGTTCCTAACAGTCTATGTCAATATCTCTTACCAACCTATTTTGGTGGTCAATTTGTTGTTTGAAAGAAATAGGATTTCTACTTATTTTCCTCGTAGCCTCAAACCTTTCGCGTGCAGCATGCAAAATGACAATATGAACTCCACAAATATAATTCATGGATGATACAATATGTTGCAAGGCAACGTAGGCCTCAATGAGGTCCCCCTTACCATCAAATCCTTTATTATTTGCCATCTATGAAAAGAAATAGTGCAATAGTAAATTAAATAACTAAAGCAATCAAATAGATAACTAAATCAATGCTAACTACTGTTCACAGCAGCTTCACGTCAACAATCAGATTTGATAGAAAATAATCTTATCCACAAGAAGCATTCAATAAGAAGGATTATTAAGCTACAACAAGAATCAAACTTTTGACATAATTTTCTACACAATCAGATTTTTTTTAGGTTAAAAAAATTTGAGAACTAATTTTTTTTGTCATATACAAACAACCAGATTTCTCATTGTTTATGTTATATTTATAAATTAATATTTTTTGTTTATATATAGATGCATAATTATTTTTCAGATTAAGAACATATAAAAACAAGAAGCATTGAAGAAGAACGGTTATTCAACTATAACAAAAACTAATCTTTAAACTACTTTTCCCAATATATAAAAATCTGATTACGTGAAAAAAAATCAAACTCTTCATAGATTTATTTTATTTTATTTTTTATTTTTATGTGAAGAGTTTGATTCAATCAAATTCCTACATTTTTACATACAAAACAAACAAATTTTTATTGTCTTGTATAAATGAACACTATTAACCACAAGTCATATATGTACAAGAATGAGAAGAAAAAAAAAAATTTAAAGCAAATCAGTTAATATATGTAACCTCTCTCAATCCTCTGATTTCAAACAAAAAAGCTCAAATAAAAACTAAAAAGGTATTATTATTATTATTACTTGAATCAAAGTCACCAAAAAAATAAAAAAAACAACAACAACAACAACATAGACATGATCAATATACCCACAAACAATAAAATAGAGATAACATACCCACTATTTTGTCAAAGATTACAAAAAGGGTCAGATTGAACAAATAAAAAATCAGATTGAACAAACCCTTGTATAAATAAAATAAAAAAAGGGTTTAGAAAGTTCAGATTGAACAAAAATCAGAAAAGGGTCACAAATGCTTTAGATAAAAATCATACAAGGAAAATTCAAAACTAGAAAATCAAAAAAAAAAAGATAGCCAAGTAGAGGGAAACGATGATTATCACCAGAAAGAAGCTTTGCCACCGAAAATCGGCCAGAAAATCGAGTAGATTTACACTTGTAAAACCAGAGCTCTTTTCTCTACTGGATGTATTGAGCCGCATATGTTTTGTTAAACCCTAATGTGTGTATATATTAGATAGATAAGATGGTAAATTGAACTTTTTAAATCATATCTCAATCCAAGGGATATGATATAATGAGGGGAGAGTGGTATTGTATATCCACCGATTTTGGAAATATACAATCCTATAGTATATTATATCCTCTTTATAAAAATAAAAAATAAAAATTACAAAATGGGATATGTGGATCCTACATTATATAATATCTAATCATACCCTTTATATTCTGGAATCAAACAGGACCTAAATAATTTAATAAAATGTACTAAAAAATAATACATCCTTAATGATTTTTTGGATGCAAATAGATTCTCCCGCTGTCTAAAAGCAACCCACAACAGTTGGTTGTTTTTCGTTGGTTGGATCCATGACTTTTGAAGGAGAAAACTTAAGCTTCATTTGACATTTGATTTTTGGCTAAAAAAATATAAAAAGCTAAATAAATCAAATAAAACGCGATTAAAAAAATCTCAATACAAAAAAATTAATTAAAAAAAGTCAATGGGAAACCAAGATCGAAAGCTGGCAGTGATTGAATACCCTACCATTATGTCACATTCAGGCCTAGTTTGGAAAGACTAAATAAGTGTACTTTTTGACTTTTTTTGTATTATGTGTAGAAAAAGTAAAGAGGAGATGTTGATTGATGTAACCCAAAAAAGATAAAAAGATGAAATAAGTGCGCTTTTTTCTTTGTAGCCAAACTTGGCCTCAGTATGAGTTTTTTTTCCAAACAAGGTGATTTGCATTGGGGTTATTACCTAACAGTGGTGTCGGGAAAACAAAATACAAACTCATGGAAAAGTTTACAAATTTAATTATTAACATTTATAAAAATTTTCACTAATTTGTAATTGTTTTTTTCACACCCCACTGATGTGATAATTTCCCTTGCTAAGGATCATTACCTGACAATGGTGTCAGAAAAAAAATACAAATTCATGAAAAAATTTATAAATTTAATTATTAATATTTATAATTTTTTTTATTAATTTGTAATTATTTTTCCACACTCCATTATCATTTGGGGGATGTCTCTCCCTCTCTCCCTCTAATGGCTAATGATCCAGTCTTATCTCATCCTTAAATTTGGTGATAGGAAGCTTCTTTTCGGCTGAGTGGTCGTCCCATCCGAATTCAGTAGGGTAAATTTCTATCCCAATGTAGTGTGTTTGGAACACTTAAAAAAGTCACCTCTCGGTTTTGAGTATTTTTTTAAAATAAAATTATGCCATTTTTTTTTAAAAAACTTTTCTAATCTGTCTTGTGTTGAAAAATCTAAAAAATAACTTTTTTACAAAAAATTCTATAAAAAAAAATTAAAATGCCAAAATAAACAAAATAATTTGTCTTTTTTGGACTCGTTTAGATTTTTTTTTATTTTTCTTTTCGTCTTGTCAAGCGGAGCATAAAATTTTGTGAATTTTTAAAAAAAATTTACTAAAGACGAAATTTTTTAAAAAATCACCAAATTAATAAATTCCAAACAATTTGGGTCAGTCGGGTTGTGTTATTATTGGTTGGTGTCAAAATCCTTTGAACATTAACTGAATTTGTGCAAATTATTTATTTTTTAGGATAAATAACAACCATTAACATTAGTCTCCGTTTGGAAAGTGAGTTGGTTTTTTGATTTTTTAACTTTTTTGACTATTTTAGTCTAGGGCTAAAAAGCTCAGTTTGGGAAGGACTTTTAACTTTTTTGACTTTTTTGACTTTTTTATGAGAAATAGAATGTAATGATTATTGGGTTTGATGTGATATTTTGTCTTATTGAGTTAAAAAACCTATTTTGTTTTTTGTGGCTATTTTAGTCCAAAAAACCTCAAAATCAACTTGCCAAACGAAGGCTTAGTTTAAAACATTTGGGAAGTGGGTTAGTTTTTTGACTTTTTAACTTTTTTGCTATTTTTGCCTGAGATTAAAAAGTCTGATTTGGGAAGAGCTTGTGACTTTTTTGACTATTTTTGTGAGAAAAAAAAATGTAATGATTATGGATTGAATGTGATATTTTGTCTTAATGGACTAAAATAGCTTATTTTGTCTTATATGATTATTTTAGTCCAAATCTTACGTCCCAAACGGAAGCAATTTTTTATTATTTTGAAAATTACATCATGCTCTTTTAAATTTCTAATCACGTAACAATGACATTTTCATTAGTCAACAATTAAGACAATTTAGCAATTTTTAGGGTTCGTTTGGGATATGAGTTGGCTTTTTGACTATTTTAGCATGGGTTAAAAAGCCTCGTTTAGGATGGATTTTTTAGGGTTGGTTTGGGAAGTGGGTTGGTTTTTTGGTTTTTTGACTTTTTTGGTTATTTTAGCTTGGGCTAAAAAGCTTGGCTTAGGAATGACTTTTTGGCTTTTTTAGATTTTTTTTGTGAGAAAAGAGTGTAATGATTATGGATTGAATGTGATGTTTTATTTTTTGTGGTTAAAATAGCCTATTTTGTCTTTTGTGGCTAAAATAGTCAAAAAAACCCAATCTAGCTCTTCCCAAACGGAGCCTAGTCTTTTTGACTTTTATGAGAGAAAAATTATAATGATTATAGATTATATGTGATGTTTTGTCTTATTGGCCAAAAAAACCTATTTTGTTTCTTCCCAAACAAGGGTTTAATAATCTCATAAATATATTTTAATTAACAATTCTTGTGATTTTATTGTTTTATAGGAGGGTAATTAGGAATTTTATTTTTTTTTATTAATTGGTTAATGACAAAATATAACAAGACACATTTATAATTTTCAGAATTACACTGAATAAATTTTAAATAAATCTCAAGAATATATATATATAATTAATCATATTTTTTATTACCTTGTCTTGTCATTTTGGGTTCTAGTTTGAATCATGTCAATGGGTCATACGAAAAAAAAAAATTTACTCGGTTTAAAGTTCCAAGTGCATGTAGATGTTAAAGTTTTTTTTTTTTTTTTTTTTTTTTTTTTTTTTTTTGGGGGGGGGGTTTCATTTATACTATACCACAACACAAGTCAATTCAATAAAAAATATAAAAATATTACTTGGTTAAAATTTAGGAGCATGCACCAATAAAAAATTTTTAAATTTTTATGCTTCTGACTCATTTGGTCCTATGAGTCGTTATTTTTTATCCTTAATAATCCAATTAGTCTCCAATCTACACACATAGAAATGTCGCTTTGGCTACCAAAATATTGGTCGCCAAAAGTCCAAAATTTTGGTCGCCGAAACCATTTAGCGACGCAAAATTTTTGTGTAAGCTCGTCGCCTTTACCTGTCGGCATAGTATTGGCGACTAAAAATTTTGTTTGGTTCTGCCGAAGTGACACATTTGGTACTAATCTTAGTTTTAGTCGGCAATAAGGTATGTTTTCCGCCACTAGAACGTATTAGTCGCCGATATCTGTGGACTCTTTGGTACTTACACATTCGTTGGTCGGCGAATGTGGTTAACTTTCTATCGTATACGAGCTCGATACACCTGATACTTAACTCGTATTTTATCACGTGAAGTACATGGCAATAACGAATCGCACTTTCGGCATATGCTATCTCGCTACATTTTTTTAGTCACTAAAGATGTTTCTACATAAAATTTTGAACCAAACTATTCCTTACTTTTTGCTTACCAAATGTTTGTAGTCGCCCAAATGTTTTTTTGCTACTAAAATTATAGTAGCCAAACAAAAATTCCAACTATGTATTTGGCTACCAAAATAATTATGGTGCCAAATATTTTTGTTTTTTTTTTATTTGTTTATTTTCCATAAAAAATTCTAACACTACTTCCATGTTATCATCACTTGTAGTCTACATCTTAACCACAATTCTTAACCC